TACCTCCATTTTAACATAAACATTTTGCAGTGAAGAATCATCAGCTATTTTTAAAATGAAAACCAACCAGAATTAACCTAATATAGTCAAATTTCAAATTCAGTATTTGAAGGTATGAGAAACCACAACACAGTTCACATCCCCTCTGGCCTTCTACAACCTTCTATGTACCTTCAGTCCATTCCTTTGATTCCTCAGACATTTACTTCAGACAAATTCCTCTTTCCCTTTCCTTTTCTTTATTATTCCAGTCACCTGCTTTATATAAAAATAAGAATATTTTTTAAACACAGAAACTTATACCAAAGCCTTTCTTATGGTTCTCCTCAGTAGTCTAGAATATATTTTATGGCTACAATATTTTAAACATGAACAGAAATACACATATACCACAACAAGAATAACTCTGACTTTGCATCAACACTGGATCAAGATGAAGCATCTGAAACTAGCAGTAGGTTTTTTCTTCTTCTTTTTTTTAACTAATAATAATTTGTAATCAGTCCCTCTAAACGATGACAAATACTTATATTTCTTTTGGATCTGAATGATCAAAGCAGCCCCAGCTACAACATTATAACATAGCTGCCATAGCTTAGCCACCATAGGCAGTAATACTCCATTCTGCCTTTGGAACCAAACCTTGGTCAAGTTTGGCAGGCAGCCCCCAGGGCAGATCTTGGGAGCCCTACCCATCAGCTTGGGAGGGGAGGACGCCTGCAGCATGGGGAGAAAAGATTATTGTTAAGCCCAGATTCTCAAGCGCATGAGAGCAGCAGACTAGAAGGGACTCCATGTCCCAGCCGGGCCACTCCAGCAGTCCAGAGTCCACTGTGAGCCTGGGTCAGGCATGCTCTGAGCTCCACAAGGCCCCCACCGGCTCCCGCTTGCTCTGCACTGCAAAGTTTCCACCCCTTGGCTCCCTGTGCAGGGGCCTGGACTGGAACCTGTTGTGTGCAGCATGGAAGTGCTCATAGCCCACCCCAGCACCCTGCTGCTCAGTGGTGACCTGAGTCCCTGCCCCTGCCACCACTGACCTAATGTGCAGCACCACAACAGTGTGCAGCCCCACCTACCACACTGTGTGTGCTCTGGGTCAGAAAGCAAGGAAGCAATGGGGGGGTAGGAGTACTCTTACTCTGTCCTAGTTCAATCAAAGATACCCTCTGTTCCTTCTGCTGGCCATTTGGCCCAAAGGCTGTCCATGTACAGTTTCTATCAAGAGTCACAACACATACACAAGCTCAGGCATAAAACACCCATACTTGTGGCCACATTTTTCACACATTCGTACACTCATAAAGGCAGGACATTCCAACAGAAAGGCAAACAATTTTCCCAGGGAAACAGTGTCAGCTGACCAACTCAAAAATCCAAAATAAGAGTCTACAGTTTTTGTAAGTCAGGAAAAGAACAAAATTCGAACACATAAGACAACAATACAGCTTTCCTGCTGCCTGGAGACAAAATCAAAAGGAAGATGCCAGCCTTATGCCAATCCCATGGAAGCAACCTGCATCATCTATACAAATCAAATTCAAATACAAATCAACCAAAGGGATCCAAACCTGTCCCAAGGAATTTCTGCAGGTACTTACAAATTTTGGGGTCACTTACAAATGCATATCCAACAGGCCAAAAGGATATCCCAAAAGTCCATTTACAAAAGGATATCCAAATGAAAGTAAACATAGAAAGCATCAGAGAAAACGTACTGACCAGCTTCAGGCTCTATAGATGGTGGTCCTGCTGGACTTGGGGTATCCTAGACGAGCCCCTAAATGATAGACCCAGATCACAGGGACCCTCAAAAGACCATCACAGAGACCGAATGCCATATGTAAAAGCAAAGAGCCTTTATTTCATGGACAGAGCTTGGACTCTACTTGATGCAGCAGTGAGAGCAGAGAACCCAGAGCCCAGGCAGGGTGGGTTGTTTTTTTTTTTTTTTTTATCATAGCAGAGGTTGGGGTAAGGGGATTTCCAGGCTTCAGAACCCTGGTTGGCTGACATTGGTCTAGGGGTATAGGGAATGTTTGGAATGTCAGGTATTTCCCCTTAGATGCAGGCCCTCCCTGGGTGAGGTCAGCTCATGGCTTCTGGATCTGAGTGTTGCCTGCCAGTAAGCCTGTCACAGAAGCTGTGTCTGGGCCTCTGAGCCTGTCCTGGCAGTTGTGTGATAAAGCTGTTTTGGGCCTTCCCACACTTGCCTCTTATAACAATGTTCTTTTGTCTCCCACAATTTTCTAATTTCTACTAGAGGGCTGAAGCTGGGCCAGTTGTGATAGGGACAAGAGAAAGAAACTGTGGAACCCGGAAGAATCAGAGGTCATGACCACGGTACTTAGTACTTCAGCTCCTGACACATCTATGGATGCCGTAATGCTGCCCTGGGCCACGTGCTTCAGCTGGAGGCCCCAGAGCTGTGGGTGCAGGTGCTGTGGAGGGGCAGCTTTGAGGTGATACTACTGTGCCCCAGTGGCAGCAATACTGAACTCTGGAATGCTCTTTCTTTAAGAAGGGCCTGCCATTTGTGCCCAATTTCCTAAGGAGTTTTGGGCAGGAGTCCCCATGATGAACTGTTGGTCTCTGGAGACATTGGAGCATTTATGGTGGCATATGGCCAAACTTAAGCTATGTACCTATAACCATAGTTCCTTCCTCACCAGAAACGATGGCTCAGTTGTGAGCTAACCTCTAATAAGGCATTGTAAAAGTATTTGAATTATTTTAATAATAGTTGAAAAAAGTTTTAAAAAATGTCCTTGGGGCTGGAGAGATTGTTCAGTGTGTAAGAGCACTAGCTGAACTTTCAGGGGGCCCAAGTAGGCCCAAGTGAAGTCCCCAGCACCTGCTTTACGCAGCTCACAACCACCTATAACTCCAACTCCAAAACCTATAACTACAAGGAATGGCACCTGTATACATGTAGCATTCGCTCACATATAAGTAAGCACCAATAAATCTTTAAAGCATATCCAAATCAATTAAAATAAGACTTTTGTCAATACAATAAAAATGTCAACTAGAAGAAAATTGATGATTAAAAAGTGATCATACATGCTGGAGAGTTAAGTTGGGGTTTAAGAACACTGGCTACTCTTCCAGAGGACCCAGATTCAATACCCAGCATCCATATGGCTGCTCACAACCATCATTAACTCCAATTCCAAGGAAGATCAACTGATACCCTATTTTGGTCTCTATGGAAACTGCCACACACATGGTCTACAGGCATACAAGCAGGCAAAACACCAATAAAATAAAATAAATTAAAATGCCCATAGAAGTAGAAAGAAGGGAATATTTGCACACTGCAGTGGCAATGTAACTATGGCCATTATGGAAAACAGTATGGAATTTTTTGAGAACAAAACAAAACCTAAGAGTGAAACTACCAAGCTCCATATGGAGGCTCACACATGTACTCTTAGCACTTGAAAGGCTGAAGCAGTAACATTGCCAAGTTGAGGTCAGCATGGGCTACATAATGAGTTGCAGGTGGCCAGTCTGGGCTACAAATTAAGATCCTGCCCCAAGAGAGGAGGGAGGTGGTAAGGGAGAGAAAGAGGAAGTAAGACAGCCATTACTGGCCATGAAGCCACATAAAATGAAATCTGTACGGGGAAGACATATCTGTACCCCCATGTTTACTGCAGCACTATTCTCACTTGGCAAGAAGTGGAAACAACCTAAGTGTCCACCAACTGATGAATGGATCAAGAGAACACCATTCAACCACCGAGGGGAAAAAAAGAAAGAAAGATAAATTGCAGCCATCTACAACAGCATGGCTGGAACTGGAGCTCATTCCGTTAAGGGAAATAACAGAACTATAAATGCTACATGATCTCACTCATATAGAGAATATAATACAGTCAATCTCAAATCTCAGAGAAATTGAGAGTAGAGTGGTGCTTACCAGAGGCTGGGATGAGGAAGGAATGGATGGGAGTGGTTGGTTAATAGGTACTAAGTTGGGAGAAAGACACTCTGGTGTTTCGGTTTGTCCATTATTGGTTTGTTTGCTGTGTTAGGAAACAAGTACATGGCCTCATATATACTAGGCAAATAGTTGAGCAAAGCTACGCTTCCAACCCAATTATAGTATATTCTAGTCCACAGCAACATGAATGTATAATGATAAGATTTGATTTTTCCCTTTTTGTATTTTATTTTTATTTTTTGCTATATACTTCAAAAAGCTAGAAGAAAAGATTTTGAGTATTTTTATTATAAAGAAAGCATGGATGCTCTAAGAGGTGGATATGCCTACCGTGAGATGAACATTACATAGTGCGTATATCAACACATTACCTGGTACCCTATAAATGTATACATTTTATATGCCAGTTGACCAAAGGACATATAAAATAGAAATCTTAAAATTATTAGATCAAAAGACACTAAATCATTCCATTCAATTGTCAGAAGTTTTTAAATACCATCTCTGGAATTCTCCACTTATCACATTCCAGATGGATAGAGATCTTAACCCCATTCATCCATCATCACTGTTCAAAGCTCTAGGTTCCCCTTACCAGGTGAGAAGGCTAGGGCACTTAGTCACTGACACTTACCCATCATTGTCAAGGGTATTTCTAGGGATATTGACTCCTGGTTCTCTGGCCTGTCTGAAACTTGGGTCAAATAATCATCTGCAGTTTGAAAGAGAGGTGAGGGTGTTCTTGGGAGGAGGCTGTATGCTCTTATGGAAGGAGGGGCCAGGCATGAATAGGAAAATGAGAGCAGAGACAGTGTATAAAGCATTGGAGATTTCTCTCCAGGGCTATAAGGTGCAGGCAAAGAAATTGGTATAAAAGTCCTGGCTCCACCATTTAATTTCTGTGTTTCTACAGCTTGAAAATATGATGTTTTTATTTCCTCATTTCTTTACTTCAAAAATGAGTATGATATGAACCCCGCCCCCCCAAAAAAAGCTAAGGATCTGTTCACAGTTGATGGTTGCTAAGGAAGAGAGAGTCAATTTTCTTTTTAAAATAAATATGGAACGTTCCACACATTTGCATGTCATCCTTGCACAGGGTCCATGCTATGCTAATCTTCTCTGGATCACTATAATTTTTAGTATATGTGCTGATGATTCGAGCTTGAGTCAGTTTTGTCTAAGGATGTAGTCACTTAATAGGTTGACCATGCTCCAGTAGATGCCCTACACTCAACCACATGTGGGCAGTACTAGTTGGACTCAGTTGGTTATTTTTAAAAAGAGAGAAAAGGAAAAGAAAAAGAAGACATGAAGTTAGCAGGGAGATGTGTTGGGGGAGAACCGGGGAGAAGCTGGAGTTGGTGAGTGTGGACTGAATATGGTGAAAATACATCATATACATGTATGAAACTCTCAAAGAATAAATGAAAGACACCATATTAAAATGAGTATAATGTCACTGCATCCAGCCTTAAGCACTGTTATGCCCTATGCTTAATAGGACATATATTAAGAATAACATGTCCTTACTTTTAAAGAGTTTATGGCTTAATGGGGGTAGGATAGCACAGTAATGAACACCATTCATTGTTTTTTCTACTAAGTGTAAGTGATCTTGCTAGATTCTTCCTTTAAATTAACTGTCATCCAGATGACAACTCTGCAAGGGAGTTACAGCTGACTTCAACTTAAGGATGAAAGTGGCCCTCAGGAAGGGGAAATGATGAATTCAAGGCCACATGGCTAGAAAAACAGCTGGAATTCATTCAAAAAAGCCTGAAAGACAAATCATTGTACTGGTGTGGTCTGGGCTGAGAAAAGAATGAGCAAACTCATAAAACAGTGGCAGTGAGTGATAGGTGGACCACTCACCAGTGGCTGCCCATACCCAAAGTAGAGTTGCTAGTTACAACAAAGTTGGGGGCTAGGGAGGTGGAGGTGGTTCTGGGCAGAGTTAAAAGGAAGAGTTGGGGATGAATACATCAAAATATATTGTATGAATTAAGAATTATGAATCAAAGAATTAAGAAAAATATTTATTAAGAAACAAAATATAGGCCGGGCGGTGGTGGCACACACCTTTAATCCCAGCACTCAGGAGGCAGAGCCAGGCGGATCTCTGTGAGTTCAAGGTCAGCCTGGGCTACCAAGTAAGTTCCAGGAAAGGTACAAAACTACACAGAGAAACCCTGTCTTGAAAAAAAAATAAAAAACAAAAAAGCAAAACAAAAACAAAAACAAAACCCAGAATATAGTTCATAAGGAAGGCAGCAAAAATGTACCCTAAAGCTATAGTAAGGGTTATAAAAAAAAAAAGGAGTAGGAAAAATAGAATCACATGATTGAGGGCTTTCCTGTGCCAAGCTAAGGGTTTTCCAAGTATTTGTCAGGACACTCTCAATGGAATTTTTCTGGGAGCTGGAAGGAGCATTTTTAACATACAGATGAGAAGTATCAATATTAAAATTTATCAAAAATATAATTAAAGACTAGATCACACACACACACACACACACACACACACACATATATATATATATATACACACACATACAGTTGCAGAAATTCAAAAATACTTACTGGCTCAAGAACAGACAAAAATCAATTAATGGAAGAGAACTGGTAGCAGGGAAAATGAGTTTGTTTCTGTACAAAACTGAATATTTAATAAGGAAAGAAATAGAAAAGAGGGGGAAAGGTCATTTAACATATGTTGTTGAGAAACAAAGTAGGTTTAAGAAAAGGACATTCCCACCTTATGTCATATATCAAGTCAAATTGTGGGAGGGTTGGACATTCTTCCTTCAGATGAATATAGAAAAAGAAATGGAAGAAACTCAAAGCCTAAGTTTTATTTCTGTTAGTTTGTCTCTGGAAACAATCAAATTTATATCAAAATAAAAGGCGGAAGATATTCACACACTTAGAAGGTGTAATTAAGGCAAATCCAGCACTTCAACTCCATAGATTAATATGATTCTATGTGGCCAAATATGAAAACTACAGGAACAAAAAAAAATGGTATAAGGTATGCTATAACTGTGAAAAAATAATATGTTAGTTTTCTATTTCTATTACTGATGTAACAATTGCCACAAAATTAACTTCTTAAATAACATAAAAGTATGATCTTATAATTCTGGAGGTTTTAAGCTCAGTACAGGTCTCAGTGGGCTCAAATCAAGGCACATGTTTGGAGGCACTAAAATGAGTTTCCTTGCCCTTTTCAACCTCTAGGGGGAGCCCACACTCCTTGGTTATTGGCCCTTTCCTCCAGCAACTTCTGGTGACTCCTAAAGGGACCTCCCTCCATAGTCACCTTTTACTTTTGTGTCTCTCCCCTGCCCCGACTTCACTTTTAAGGACCTTTCTGGGTACATTGGCTTCACCTAGTGTGACGGCTAATTTGACAGAATCCCGAATCACCAAAGTAGACATGTTTATGAGAGATTTTCTAAATTGGGTTAATTGAGGTGGAAAGACATACCATGATCATGGGTGTCACCATCCCATGGGCTGGGGTCACAGACTGAATAAAAAGAAGAAAGTGAGCTGAGCAATGGCATTCATCTCTCTCTCTGCTTCCTGACTGGATGCAATGTGACCTGCTACCTCAATCTCCTGCTAACATGCCTTCCCTAACAATGATGGAGCTTACCCTCAAATTGTGACTTAAAACAAACTCTTAAGTTTCTTTTGCTTTGTATTGTGTCAGAGCATTAACACACCCTGATAATCAAGCATGCTCTCCTTCAGATGAGGCCAGTGGGGAAGAAAGTTTCGTTCCAACTACAACCTTAATTTTCACATTTTCATGAAACTTCCCCAGCTTTCAAGGCCTAGGCCATTACCATCTTTGAGGGACACAGATGGGGGAAAAAAGCCAAACCATAGATATAGATGTAGAGGCACATACATGAAATTCCAGTACTCAGGACACAGGACAGGAAAATCACATGTCCAAGGCCAGGATGGCTATACATACACACAGATCACATCACTACCAACACCAGCAAAGTAAACAATAAAACAGTTTTATATATATATATATATATATATATATATATATATATATATGGTAGTCTACTGGTGAACAAGTATTGTATTCTATTTTCCCACTCTTTCATGATGCCATATTATTTTCATCATCTTTTGCAGATGAAAGACTGGTGGCAGATGGGCAAACATGAGAAAGCATTTCTAAATTTCAGCCTCCCAGGGCTGGGTTGGCAGGTGAAGTTCTACTGCTTTTCTAGCATTCTTGTTTGTTTGTTTCCTGAACATTTTTAGATCCTCCTTAGCCTGAGACCTCCTAGATGCGGTAGTGACCCAGTTATTGTCAAGCAATCCTCAACCCTATCTGGCACAGGCGCCATCACAACCACTCCTTGTCCTGGCCACTTAGATACATACCTGGAGCCTCCCTGCAATGGTGCTGAGCAAAAGCAAGGGCATTGTCCTACAGGATACTGAGAACAAGGAGTCAGAAATGACACAGTGAGGAACTGGCTGAATGCACTGTGTTGTGTAAGCAGACCCATCTACATTTTAAAAATAGGCTTGGGGGATGGCTCAGTGGGTAAGAATACTTGCTGAAAAATCAAGACAATATAAGTTCAAATTCCTAGTATCCATTTCAAAAATGTGCCTGTCACCCAGCGTTGCGGGTGGAGATGGGCAGATCCCAGATGCTCAGGGACCAGCCCACCCACATAAAGTGGTGAACTAAAGGTTCAGTGAGATATCCTGTCTCAAAAATGAAGTAGAAAATGATAGAGTACTCCAGATTTCCTCCTATGGCCTCTGCACACACTCACACAGGCACTAAGGCACAGAGAGAGAGAGAGAGAGAGAGAGAGAGAGAGAGAGAGAGAGAGAGAGAGAGAGAGAGAGTTTAAAAAGGCACAAAGGCATTCATAGTCTTTACATTTTTGGAAACACTATTTTGGGTTCTGGGAATGTAGCTTAGATGATAGAGTGCTTGCCAGGCATTCACTAAGTCCTGGGTTGATCCTCAGGACCATGCAAAGCCAGGTGTAGGTGTGCATGCCTGTAATAGCAGCATTGGGAAAATAGAGATAAGAGGGTCAGAAACAGGCTAGCAGGATGGCGCAGCAGGAAGAAGGAACTGACCACCAAGACTGGTAACTTGATTTGGATCTCCAGAATGCACATGGTAGAAGAAAAGAAGATTGCCACAAAGTTGTTCTCTGACAGTGTGTGCAAGCACACGCATGCATGCATATATGCATGTACACACACAGAGAGACACACAAACAAATATATAAATAGTCTTTAAAACCAAGTTCAGGGCCAGGTGTGGTGGCACACACCTTAATCCCAGCACCAGTGAAGGAGAAGAAGGTGGTGGATTTCTGTGAGTTTTGAGGCAAGCCTGGTCTACATAGTTTCAGGCCAATGAAGGCTACATAGTAAGACTTTACCTTAAAAGAGGGGCCAGGATCTACAAGAAGCCCTGTCACACACACAAAAGAAAACAATATTCGAAAGTACAGCTTAGTAGTATTTTCCTTTGGGGTGTACAGAAGTGTGGTCAAGAGCAAGTGGGTTATATCAAGGCTGGAACAGCATAGAGAAGGTTAGAGACTGGCAGGCACAATGCAGAACAAAGTGGAAGGCCAAGGAGAGACGCTAGCTTTAAAAGCAGCCGTCAATTCCAACAAGTTAGAAAAAACTTCTCAGAGCTGGGGTTTTTGACTCAGTTGACAGAATGCTTGCCTACCATGCACCAAGCTCTGGATTCAGAACTCTGTAAACTGGGCATGGTGGCACAATCACTTGGAATCACAGCACTTAAGAAATAGGAGCAGGAGGATAAAGATTCAACATTATTCTTGGTGCTCAAAGTTTCAGAGCAGCTGGATAATGTTGGGCGACAGATCCACAATACATTTCCTATTACATAGCATCATGTTTGAACACAGGCTGTGACAGCACTGAAAGTCTTTGAGAGTCAACGTTCCTTAGGAAGCTCCCAGGGGTTGCTGCTGCTGTTGCTGGACTGTTGTTCACCATTCTCTGAGCAGCACAGATCAACCGAGAACTTGTATTTGTGTTCTACCTCCCACCTACAGAATAGGGAACCATGTGAGCAGGATCTTCAATCTGCTTTCTTACAAACTCTCTGGGTGAGTCTGATGG